TGAAGCGTTCTACATTTTTGAATGCCACTGAATTCTACAGTTAAAAACAGTTAAAATGTGAAATTTTATGTTATATATTTAATAATTGTGAAAACTTGGTGTAATATTACAACAGCCATTGAATTGTATACTTTAAATGACATAACTATATGGTATATGAATTATATTTCAATAAATACATTATAATTTGCATGTTTAAAAATGCAGCCAAAGCAAAAAAAAAATCAATTGGCTATGCTTGTATAGGTCTATTTCACGGTTCTCTATTCTGTACCTCTGATCTGTGTAGCCATATAATACGCTGTAGTTATATATTTTAGCAAGTCTTAAATTCAGGTAAAGTGATAAATCCGAAATTATTTTTATATTTCAAAACTGTTCTAGCTCATCTAGTTCCTTTGTCTTGCCATATCAGTTATACGATGTGTTTGTCTATATCCACTAACATCTTGCTAGGATTTTGACAGGAATGGCAATAAACTTATAGATCACTTGGGGGGAAATTCATGTGTTTATTGTGTGGGGTCTTTCAGTCCATGAACATGGGATGTCTGACCATGTTGTATGACTGAATAATATTGCATCGGACAACTTCTTTATCCATTCACCTGTTGATGGACACTTAGGTTGTTTCCAAGTCTTGGCTACTGTACGTAATGCTGCAGTGAGCATAGGGTGCAGGTATCTCTTCAACATAGTGATTTCATTTCTTTTGGATAAATACCCAAAAGTGGAATTGCTGGATCATATGGTAGTTCTATTCTTAATTTTTTGAAGAGCTTCCATACTGTTTTCCATAGTGGCTGAGCCAATCTACAATCATGACTGCAGTCCTTTATCAACAATGTAAGCTTTTTTTGTACGTTAAGAAGTCTAATTTTTATTATTTGTTTTATACAAGGCAGATCATAAATGAAGCTTCTCCCCCACTTATTCTGACAAAGGTTCTTTCTGTATAACCCCAGAGCTGTACCTGGACACTTTTGCCAATGGGTTAGAGTCTCATCAGATACTTCAAAGGAAGTTCAACATTAATTCTCCCTCGTTTGTATCTAATAGAATCAGAGAAGCCTTTGAATGCTCCTCCTGTGGGATTTCTAAAGCTACTTTTGCCAGAAGGTACTTTAAAAAGCTTCATTTTGTTAATTAAAGATAAGTTTTTCTAGGAAGGGGCGATAGAAGAAAGAGGAGAAGGAAATTTTACAGGGATGTATCATGGCCTGCAAATTAAAGTGGGTAGCCTTTGTCTAGTAATGACTTTAAACTCAGAACCGTTTTGCTGATGTCATTTCTTTTCAAAATGCAGCACTGTTTTGTAGTAGTCTAGGCATTATTCTGAGCATGAGGTTGTCGTAAATTAAAAAGATTAATAAGAAAAAAAAACAAGTCTAATTCTTGGTCAGAGTGTCGGAAATCATTTTTCCTAGTCTCTTTTTTATTTTTATTATATTTGTATTTTGCCATAGGGCTGCTTACGAAAAGCAAGAAGTATGAGAAGTATGAATTTTTTAATAAAGAACTTAAAAATCTAAATAATAGAGAAATATACTATGCTCATTGACGGGAAAATTAAAATTGAAGACGTCCATCAACAGCAATAGCAAAGCAAACAAACAAACCAAAAAAAAACCTTGAGAAATAGGAAATACTAAATAAGACAGCAAGAAATGTCCCAATATACCAGCCATCCCTCTGCCCTACTCCCATCCCCTACAAAAAAAAAAAAGGGAACAAATAAAATTCCCCAAATAAAAGACACATACTCTGAAACTGAGTAAATGATTAAATTTCTCTATACGGTATTAAATGAGACACAGCTGAAATAAAATGACCTAAAAAGGTAAAAATATAAAGTCATAGATAAAACTATAAGAAGCGCTATTACAAAAGAAAGAACAGCCATAGTACAGGTGGCAGAGGAGAGCTCAAGGTGGAAAGGCGTGCAGAAGGCGAGCATATGTTGCATTGGTAAAAGATACAAACCACCAAAAAGAGAGAGCGATCCCGTCAGCTTTGAGACGTTGGATGCAGTTGTGCTTCTGCAGATGTGTGATTTATCTATTTGTCAAGATATCAAAGGGGGATGTCAAAAAAAGATGTCAAAGGGGGAGTCCCTGGGAGTCTGGCGCCCTGGGCCACTAGGACCTGTGGACGGGCTGCACCATCCCCCACCTCAGGGTGCACAGCCCCACAGGAGTGTTCCCCAGATGCAGGCAGGAGCCCCAGGCTTCACCCAGAGTCCAGATGGAACCCTGTGGGAAAGCAGGGTTTCTGCCCCCCGTGTGGCATAGTCTGTAGGGTGGACGGATGTGACCCGACTCCCCTCAGAGCCCTAAAGTAGCTCACAAGCACTGTAGACTTCTGACACCTGCAGGCATAGCCCACATGGCAGGTCAGTGAGTGGATCTCAGGAGTGAAGATGCTGTTGATGTCACTCTGCATCCTGGTGTGTCCTGGACACCATGGTGCACCCAACTGGACTATGACGTCGTCCACGGGGACCCTCTGGACTCAGGACGCTGTTTGTAACCTCCTGACCTCCCCACTGTGAAGCATGGTGCACCCCACCAGGACCTCTGGATTTCGTAGGGACCACAGGCCGGGTGCCTGGGGCTCCACGGTGGGGACTGGGGACAGCTCCCTAACTCCCAGGTTCCCCGGGGATCACACCAGCTGAGTTTCATGGAATGTCAGATGTCGGGTTTGGTGTGAGCCCTACTGAGAAGCACCGTGCACGCTCCTAGAACGTCAGCATGGTGCCTGAGCTTCTCAGGACTTCTGACCCGCGTCACTTCTCATAGTCCGTGCAATGAGACTTCCCGTTTATCCCGACCTGACTTCCGACGCCGGGAATCACTAAAAATTACACGGTGGGAACATGTGCCGGGGCAGGAAAGTCAGGGACATGGGGTTCACTGTCAAGACCATTTCAAGTTCCTACTGCATACTGAAAACCATTTTGAAATCGGAAATATTAACATTTAAATTTTAAAATATAAAAAAAAATTTTTTTAAACTAAAATCTTAAATTCTCACTCTTGAGGAAGTATGAACATTGCCTTTGCTCTTGTTTCTTTCCCAGAGTTCTCAGTGGCTGTGATCTCACACCTTCTACTGGGGCAACATGGGCCATTTCCAGCAGGGACAGTGCAGTGTCGGCCCAGACGCCTGACTGCCACACGCCTCCAGAGAATTGCAGTGTCTGAAAGGTAAGTCCTGTGTGACCGTGCCAGAGGGGCACGTGCAGTCAGCCTCTGTCATGCAGCCGGGAGCAGATGACCTGCCTAAGCCAGGGAGGGGGTCTGACCTCTCCGCTAAAGTCCACTGAGAAAAAATTAGGAAAGGAATTTTCAATGCATTAGAATTTGCATCTAGAATAATAAGCATTATTCTTCAAAAGAATATGCCTGTGGTGCATGAGCAGCCAGCGATTGGATTTACACCAGTGTAAAATTTAAGGAACGGCTATCACGATTGATTTTTAAAATATTACGGGAGTCCTCTAAACAAAAGATAGTCTCATCATCTTCAAATGTCATTTTCCATTTTAAGGTTTCCTCTCAGTTCTTGTCCAAAAATGCAGCTTGTCTCTAGTTGATATCATGGCATAGTGCTTCCTTTGCCTTACGACTCTTTGAACAAACGTTTTCATTTACTTTTTTGCCTACTTTTTATTTTGATAAACCTCAAATCTACAGAAAAATGAAAAATGAGCCCCTATACAGTCTTCACTCAGAATGTTTATCCACGTAGACACATACACGGAGAGATTATAAATATGTATTTGTGTGTGTTATGTACGTGTGTTCTGTTTTTTCTCTGCATCATTTGAAAGTAAGTTGCAGATATCATGACATACTTTGGCATGTATTTCTGAAGTTCATAGGCTGTCTTCTTCAAAACTATAATACTGTTTTATACACACACACACACACACACACACACACACTGCACACACACACACATATACCAAGGGTGCCAAAAAAATGTATGCAGGTGGACACTTTGGTCAGCGTTGCTCAAGCAGCAGTTTGCCGTAATCAGAAGTGTCTGGACACTGATGGGAACCACTTTGAGCACCTCTTGTAATTGCAGAAGTCAAACATGACTTGTATTCAATTTTTGTTATCGGTATATATTGAGTATTACAATTTTAATAGTTTTTTCTTTTCTTAAAATAAGTATACATTTTTTGGCACTCTGTGTGTGTGTGTGTGTGTGTGTGTGTATACAGAGAGAATATATTTTTTATATGTAATTATTATATAATTCAAAATTATTACTTGTTAATTTAAACTGATGTATCGAACATTGATCCGATATATAGCCTCTATTGAAATACCTCCGGTAGTCCCCCAAATATTCCTCGTAGCTCTTCTCCCGTATCTAGCATTCAGTTAATTATCATGCACTGAATTTGGTTGTCTCCTTTGGTCTCTCTAAACCAAAATCCTGCTTTTGTCTTTTTCTTTGTGTGGTTGACATTTCTGGAGAACTAAGCCCTTTGTTTTGTAGAGAATCTCTCAGCCTGGATTTGCCTGTTTCTCATACTTAGATTCAGGTAAACATTTGTGTATTGACACCATATCCGTGGGCTTATCACATCATCGGGACCTGGGATTGGTGACAATAAGTTTGTTCAGCTGGCTAAGGCAGTTTCTTCCAGAGCTTTATAAAGTTACTTTTTTTAAAAAAAATTTTGTCATTAGTACAGAATTGGTGGGATTAGCTAGGAGACTGTGTGAATACCCCTCCCAGCTAATTTTCACCTGTTTTACCTTCCACTGATGGTTTTAACTGTTGGGTTGTTGGAAAAGTCATGACACATTTTTGCAACGAAAAACATAGAAAAAATACACCATGACTTTTCCAACAACCCAATAATCTGATTGTCATTTCACCAGACGTTCTTCTTGCCTGTCACGTCTTCCTTAATTTTTCTCTTTTTTCCATGGTTGTGAGCTATCACCCAAGGGAGTGTGTCGAGGCAGTCAAGAGAAGGACTCTGAAATTAGACTGTCTAGATAGGTGTCTGGTTTGCATCTCGTCTCTGCCACACACTAACCAGATGACCTTGAGAAAGTCCTTCAGCTCACAAACCCTCAGTGTTCTTATCGTTAAAATTAGGAGCCTAATTAACTAGTAACTACTGGAGGGGAGGTTGGGAGGGGGGTAGGGCAGGCGTCTAACATTACAGGCTCTGAGCCCCTGGTATTTTAATGAGTTGTGAACTGTTAGGTAAATAGGTGTGACACTTCCCAAGATTTTCAGAACAGGATCAAACAGGCTTCTTCGTGTTTTAGGAGGATATCCAACATTCAAGCAATCACCCCTTTTCCTTTTTCTCAAGTTTGGAATACATTTTTCTATAACAATTAGCTGGAAATAAATAAATAGAAGAGTGGCCGATAAATTTTGAGCGACCAAGCGTTGCCTTTTTAGCTGCACCATGACCTTGAACCCTCGTGTAAATTCTGCAAGGACATCTGGGATAGGCTGCTTCAGACATGGTTCCAAATCACTTCTGCCTCCTGATAGCCACACCCTGGTGTTGTCCCCTGCCCAGAGTGGGGGCTGGACCCCGTGACTTGTACCTCATAAACAGAATACAGCAGACGTGATGGGCTGCTACCTCTGAGGTCAGGATATACACGACCCTGCGTGTGTTGCCTTTCCGATAAAACCGGCTGTCATTTTGCAGCGTGGCAAGGGATTGAGGTCCTCAGCTCAACAGCCCTCAAGAAACAATTCTGCCAACAATTGCATGAGTGAGCGTGGAAGAGGCCCATTCGGACAAGACTGCAGCCCCAACCATCGTTTTGACTGCAGCCTGTGAGAGAGCCAGAGCCAGATTACCCAGCTAAGCGGCACCCTGGTTCCTGACCTGCAGAACCTGCGAGATGATAAATATGGTGTTTTGAGTCACTGAATTTGGGGGGCGGGAGTAATTTGTTTCCCAGCAATAGATAACTAATACAGCATCCACGAAATGTGTAGGGTTGATGGTATTCAGAGATGTACATCTCAGCAGGGCTCTTTCATCGCCTCTGCTTCTCCCATCTTCCTTCTTCTGCCTTGTCTCCCACCTGCCCCCTCCTTTAATAATCCTTGAAACTGATAGTTGTCCTTTCCTGATTCCTGTTCCATTTGGGCTCCCTTTTTCTGGCAGCTGTGCTGACATCTTTGGTGACTGATTAGAGAGGCTCGAGCTCAGAGGCAGCTTATTTATGGGGACAATGTGCCGTTCAGAAAAAAAAATACTCCACAGCAAAAGAATTTTCTCGGTTGAAATCAATTGCTTCGGACTGGAGGTGACTCTTTCCTGCAGAGCTGCAAGGTTTCTTATTTGGTGGTCCTAAGCCAATGCTGAGTGTTTGAGTGAAATTGGTTTCACCATTCTTTCCTCAGGGGACTGTGGACACATATATTTTCTTTTTCAAAATGCAGTTTCTTTCTTGACTCAAACAGCTAATCCTGGAACTTGAACTTCATTTTCATCAGTTTCAATACAGCAAAAACCTTTTAAAAACCCTAAGTTCTTTGGGTATGATACAAAATTTACCAAAACGATGGTACTCCAGAGGGTCTTGCCAGGTTTCCACAGTTATTAGTTTAAGAGTATATTTGCGAATAAGTGAATAGGTAATAGCAACAATAATAGTCGTGCCTAACCTTTTCTTAGCACTGCTACAATCCAGAATCTGTGTTATATAATCACCAGCACAATATAAATAGGACCTGATATTCTCTTTTAATGATGAAGCAGTGAGAACCGGGGGCTAGAAGTAAATTGTCCCCGTTTTGCTTGGATGCCTGCATGGATTTGTATTTTAAGATAAGTGTTTCTAATGATCGAAGGGTAGAACCCAGGTAACCCAAAAGAACACAATTAGTAAATTAACACAGTAGGTCATATAGCTGCCAGGCAATTATGAAAAGCTGGGTAGGTTCTGAAAAATCCATCCGTCTTAGTGTCATCTATTGAAAATGTCCAAAGCCATTCAGGATGATGGATATCTATGGAAGCCTTTTTCCTTTTTTTGTTTTTTTGTTTTTTTTGTTGTTGTTTAGGTAACATGGATTGTTCTGTCTTGAGAGATAGATATTTAGATGAAACACTGAATGTTACCGGTCACTCACATGTGAATATTCAACTAATATGAACTTATTAAAAAGCCCAAAAGCTGAAATTCTCCCACGCTTATGAAATTTATGGTTTTTTGTAAATGGAAAAGAGCTCCTGCATCTTCTCCTTTGGTTTATTTACCATAAGTATTCTGGGAGCTTCTGAGTATAAATATCCGGCTCATTGGGACTTCTCTCTAAATGTCTCTTAGACAACTTTCTCTGCCTTCCCTCTTAATCCACACACACACACACACACACACACACACACACACACACACACACTTGCACGTATATGTACTTACACCCAACATAATCACAACTGCACACACTCATACACTGACACACAGAAGTTCACACTCCTGAACATGTGCACAAACTCACAGTGGACACAGACCATACACACGCGTACATACACACCCCCACACATGGACACAAAACACACATGCACACTTGGCCTATGCTCTATTTAGAGTTAAATTTATATGTGATATGAGGTGTAGGTTGAGATGTTCTGTTTATTTTTGCATATGGATGTCCATTTGTTCTAGCACCATTTGTTAAGTCTGTCCTTTCTCCATCCGGATTGCCTTTGTCCAAAAATCAGTTGTCTGTATTCTGTTCCATTGAGCTAAGCATCCTTTCACCAATGCCGTATTGTCTTGACCACAGTATGTTTATAATGCATCTTAAAATTGGGCAATGTGAATCCTCCAACATTTTTCTTCTTTTTCAAAATGGTTTTGCCTAATATAGGTCCTTTATTTTTCCATATAAATTTTAGATTCAGCATGTCCGTGTCTACAAAGAATCCTGCTTTGTTATTGGTTGGGATCTCATTGAATTCATAGACCAATATGAGGATAATTGACATCTTAACTGTATTGTATCTACATTCTGCACAAACAGTATGTCTAACCATGTATTTAGGTTAGCTCCGGTCTCTTTTGTCTGAAGGCTGTACACTCCTTACCATTTTGTTCTGGAATGTCTCCTTGCCCTGTTCTTCAGCTCTATACACATCGTGTTCTGTCTTTCTGGCCCCATCCATATCTCTCCCACTCTACACTCACATGGAGACCAG